ACGCATACGAACGTATCTATCTTATTTTGGCTACCAAACCTTATTGGTTAAGAATTAGGAGATGAGACCACCACCATTGGAAAGTAGACCTTCCGTACATCAATTTCAATATAAAATTTGTCCAAAATGGAGTTCGTATGAAAAAGTTATGCCCTTCCGAAATTTAGCCAAAATGCAGATTTTTGAATACCTACCGGTAGGACACGAATACCTACCACTAAGAGACCAGAATTTCCTAAAAAATGACAGATTTTTGAATACCTATCGGTAGAACACGAATACCTAACCGTAGGAGACCAGAATTTCACAAAAGTGACATTACTGGACAACGTTTCTACCGGTAGGTCCAAGATTCCTACCTGTAGGACTTGGGTTTTTAGTGCACGAATTTCAGATTTCACAATAACAATTCCAACAACGAAACTAACGATCTAAGGTACGATTCAAACACCAGATCAACACATAAACATATAATAGAAGTGAGAAATCCCTACCTCGAAGTCGAAGAACGAAACCCATGCTCAATCAAGCAAGTCCTAGCTCCAAAAACCTTGAATCAACCGAGTACTCCTCTTCGAGCTCAAACCCACGAATTTTCAAGCTCTAGAACACTTGAATGCGAAATCTTTGTGGCGGATCGAGGTGGGTTCGAGGTGTTTTGGGGGGGTGTTGGAGTGTGAGAGTTAGAGAAAGAGCGAGGTGGGTTCGAGGTATTTTGGGGGGGTGTTAGAGTGTGAGAGTTAGAGAAAGAGCGAGAGGAGCCAAGAGAGAGATCGGGAGTTAGAGAGAGAGAGGGATGGGAATTATGATTCCCTACACACACACATACACATATATATACTTGGACACACACACAATCACACTTACACTCCCTCCACTTTCAATCCTTATCATTTAAGTCCCAAATCAAATAAATTCAACAAATTTTATATTTATTCAATATTCTAATATTAATAAAACCTTTAAATAATTTCCAAAAATACGGGTCTCTACAATCTTTTTTGTTGTGTCATTAGCATGTTGTTTTCCTTCCCTCTTACTAGATGGATTGGAAACAACACATATCGTTTAGCTCATGTAGCCATTTGGCATAAGCAATTTTCTTTACTCTTGTTTTGTTTTTCTTTTCCTTATCTCCTGAGGTATGCCCCTTGTAGGCTGTAAATTAGGTTACTCTCCTTTTCAATTTCAAGCCGATTTACCCAAAAAAAAAAATCGGTAGATACTTTTGTACTCTTTTTATTCCTCTCGTTTGGATCAAATGATTGATCTAAAAAAATTGACAAGATGTTGAAAAAATTCAGTAAACACCAAGAACACTATAACTGTCTTAAAGAATAATTTTTTAGGGTTATTTCCAAGGACACCCCCTCAACTATCACGTTTTGTCAACATGACCCCCTCATGTTTAAAACTCATCAACCTCACTCCTTCAACTATCAAAACTCATCAACTACACCCCTTCCGTCCAATTCTGTCAGAAAATGTTAACTTTTTGGACGGAAAATGGTTAAGTTTGACAGAAAATGAAAATTTAAGTCTAAAATGCCCTTTCCCCTCCTCCCTCCCTCAGAACTGCCCTCCCCTCCCCTCCCCTCCCCCTCACATCCCACCTCCTCCCACCCAACTCCTCCATCATCCTCACCGCCGCCGCCTCAACCATCCCCATCCCTTCGTTGCCGCCGCCGTCAACATCGCCGCCGTCTACAAAATGCAACCATCTTCTCCACCCCACCTCCATCTTCTCCGCCCCAACTCCCACCGCCTCAACCATCCCCATCTTCTCCACCCCACCTCCATCTTCTCCGCGCTAGTTAGCCTCAATTTGGACAAACAAGTTACCGTAACCACCGCTCACCAATTAGGCGTCCTCGAGACGTCGTATCCGCCATCATCTGGAAGCTTCCGTCGGGATCTGAAGGGATGTATTACACAGATCTTGGATTTCCATGTCAAAACCAGTTCTTCTTTCCTCATCAATGCGTATCCTTACTTCGCTTACAAGTCCAATCCGAAGCAAATCCCGATCGACTTCGTCCTGTTCTAGCCTAACTCCGGGATAATAGATCCCGCCACGAACTTCCACTACGACAACATGCTGTTCGCTCAGATCGACACCGTGTACTACGCTCTGGCCTTGGTTGGTTACAAGAACAAGCTGTCTGTTCAGATCTCGGAGACCGGATGGCCGTCGAAGAGACGAGGTCGAAGGGGACGCCATTGAAGCCGAACTGTGAGCTGAACGTGTTCGTGTTGTTTAACGAGAACATGAAGCCCGGGCCGACGTCGGAGAGGAATTACTGCTTGTTTAAGTCGGACGGAACGCCGGCGTGTTTGCTGGGGTTGAACGGAAGTACTACTGTTGCGACCAATACGAGCGGTGGAGGCTCGAACACCGGTACAGGTGGTACGGCGCCGCTGATGGGGAGAGAGAGAGTGAGAGTGAGAGAGAGGTGGCCGGTGACGGTGCCGCCGGAGTGCCGTCAAAGATGGGGGGATTGATCCATTTTTCGTTTTTTTTTTTATTTAAATTCTTAAAAAAGTTGAAAATCAATTTTCTGAAAGGAAAAAAAACTAGTTTTTGAAACTTTTTTTTGAAGAAAAAGGTTTTTTGAAAATATTTTTCAAACAAAATAGTTTTCGAAATCATTTTTTGAGAAAAGAAAATTTTAAAAAACATTTTTCGTATTTTTTTAACAAAAATAATTTCTGAAAACATTTTTGAAAAACATGAAAGTTTTGAAAATAGTTTTTTTTTTTTAATTTTTTGTAAAATAAGAAAGTTTTGAAAATATATATTTTTAAAAAAAATGTTTTTTCAAAACAATTTCTGAAATTAATATTTTTTTAAAAAAGGTTTTTTTAAAAACATTTTCAGAAATTAATATATTTTTTTAATTTAAAAAAAAATATATTTTCTGAAATTAATATTCAAAGTACAAAACCCTCTTTTAACATATGAAGGATATATTTGTCTTTTCACTTGTTTCCGTCAACAGATTTTACCACAGGGGTGATGTCGATGAGTTTTAATAGTTGAAGGGGTGAGGTTGATGAGTTTTAAACATGAAGGGGTGATGTTGACAAACCGTAATAGTTAAGGGGGTGTCCTTGGAAATAACCCTAATTTTTACCCAATCCACTTTTGTTCTACCGGGCCAGAGGGGAAAAAATGCCGATGGTGTGCCCAACCAATAGGATGCAGAAATTTACAAAAGTATGCGGTGAAATTACATGAAGACTCCCTCAACTATCACTTTTTCCTCAAAACAACCCCTTATATTTAAAATCGCCTATGAAGACCTCCTCAACTACTAGAAATGAAAAAGATGCTAACTCCGTTAACGGAATAGAGAAAATGACCAAGATACCCTTTTATATTATATCCATATAGGAAATTTAAAAAAAAAAAACCCTGAAATTGTTTACCCCACCCTCGCTACATCTGGTCCGGAGACAGAGAGAGAGAGAAGAGGGTAATCGGCAACCACCGGCAGCACCACCAACGGAAGGGAAGCTTCGACTCTAGTCTCTCTTTCTCTCTCTTGAAGGCCCTTCTTTCATCGGGGTTTGCTTTCATTCTTACCATTTTGACCAAAAGTGCGTACTCAATTCTTGGGTTTGTACGTATCTTTTTTCTTTTTAATTTCTAAAACCTCCGGTTTCTCACTTGCAACAAGAATTAGGTTTTTTTTTTAAGGGGGGGCATTTATTTGGCATTTTATAGAGAGAGACACACACACACACACACACACACACACACACACACACACACACATATATATATATATATATTAAAAAGACTGAGTTCTTTATATAGAATTTAGATTGTTATATATATTAAAAATATGGTTAAAAATTAAGTGCTTTAATTTTCAAACCGTGTGAACCGGTGTCCGGTGTGAAGATCTTATTATTCTGATCAATTTATGCTAAAAGGTTATAGTTAATTTTTCTTTCTAGAACTCTCATAATCAAAATATCTTCTCTAAAGGGTCCCAAATAAAAAAATAGATATTTAATTATGATAGCCCTAGAGATAAAAATTAATCATGACTTTTTAAAATAATATGATCAGAAAAATAAGATCTCCACACTGTTCCAAACGGATTGAAAATTCGATCACTTAATTTTTTTAGAAGGTTTATATACTAAAAAATATGGTTACAAAATTAAGTGTTTCAGTTTTCTATCTGTTGAAACAGTGCGAAGGTCTTATTTTTTTTGATCATTTTATCCTAAAGAGTCATAATTAATTTTTATCTTTAAGGCTCTCATAATCAAGTATCTGCTCTACAGGGTCCCAAACAGGCCTTACATGGCATGTTCCGTCCAAATTCCTAACTTCCGTTATCTATTGGACTAAGTAGGTAACGGTATGATAATTGAGGGGATGATATCGTCAAATTGATAGTTTAAGGACTAAGTAGAAAAAATGTGCATAGCTTGGGGGATAAAAAGAAAAAAAAACTCAAAGATGTATATAGCTATCAAAGGGCATTTTTGTCCAAAAATTGCCTAAATTACGGACATATGACCTTCCAGCAAACATTTTTGAGACGGAAGGGTGTCACATGGGTAACGGGAGTAGTTGAGGGGGTCTTTATCGGCGATTTTAAATGTGAGGGGGTGTTCTGGGAAAAAAGTGATAGTTGAGGGGGTCTGTGTATTTTCACCAAAAAAAAATATTAAATAGTGGCTAATTTTTTCAATATCTATCGGTACAAAAAATCCAAAGAAAGCCTTCTGTAAATTCCAACGTATACTAGTGAGGCAGCCTGCGGGCAAAGGGGCCGCGGTTATAGCAATTGGCTCAATGCATGAATTTTGTATCGTAAATGAAAACGAGGGCGTAAGGGATGGAAAAGGAATTGTTATGGTAAGCAGGGCCGGCCTTGAGGGTAGGCCCACTAGGCGACCGCCTAGGCCTCCTCCGTTGGGCCTAATAATGGGGCCTCCAAAACGTAAAATATCTGGAACGTAAAATATTTTACAGTCAGGGTAATGTAGCCTAGTGGTAAGCAGCGCGAGTCTAGCATATAAGAGTTCGCAAGTTCGATTCTTGCCTCTTCCGTTTTTCATGTAAAATTTTGGAGTCTATTTGATCTAGAAGACTGAAAATGACCCTATGGAGTGTCGAACTCCTGAGCTATGGTTCTAAAGGTTTGCTTAACTGCATTGCCTCCGAACTACAAGCACCACTTGTTTCTTTAATCCAAACAAATAATTAATATACTAAAAAATAAAAGGCCCCATTTTTAAACCCTACCTAGAGCCTCGAAAATCTCAGAGCCGGTCCTGATGGTAAGAACTAAATAGTAGTACTACGAGATAAGTTCGCAACACAACCAAAATATAAGCATCCATGTTGTGGCGTATGGACGATTCAATTTGTAACAGGGACGGAGCCAAGATTTTGTAAACACGGAGGCCGGATTATGAACAAGAAGTAGCTACGTCGTAAACTCTTTTTAAGTTGTCTTTGCATACACAGTTTGCCAGCACAGGCAACATGAGCAACCTGTGATGTTGGTGTGTACTCCAGCATTTGGATAGGCAGCAATGGAAATGAGAGAGCAATGCCATGACAAGTTAAAAGATTTGTTCCGATGTAATTTGGGCAATTGGGAAGGTCGGTAAGTCAAGGGAAGCATTGTGTCGACTGTCTGTCGGATACAATTTGTAATTGGACAGGTGAATTCGTTCCCAGGCCTTGTACACACCGCCTGTCAAGCTTAAAGAGAAGTGGGAAAAGGGAACCCTGGAGGACCGAATACAGTTAATCACCGTTTATCGTTTAGTAACAAACCATGCACCTAAACTTATTACCCTAGGAATCAAACACGGGTTCTTCCTAGCATAAGCTTCTCGTCTCTTCGTGTTTCTTTCGTACTTCTTTGCTCCTTCTCCTAGAGTAAGCTTCTCGCCTTTCGAGTTTCTTTCATTTTTCTCTACTTCTTTGAAATTTTGAGGCCTGCAATGTATTTATAAGTAGAATAAGATCAAAAGAACTAACATTTTCTTAGTCCGTAAAATCATGCTGCAATATGAATGAAGCTAGATTTGTGCTGAAGTTCTTTGTTTTTCTGTAGATAGACATCAGTCTGGCCAATCTATTATCCCTTTTGCATTTTGGCAATTTGCTCAAATTGTTGTGCTTGTTGGCAGCAAGTCTTTGCTAGTCGTAGGTATCGCAACTTAATATATCACCAATAATTCGACACATCTAATAAAAGATTGTAAACAATATTCTAAATGAGGCATCTCAAAAATATATCTCCTATATATTGTACATAAGTAAACATACACTCGCTTGCATTAGGGAATAACTCACCTCTATCAAGTCACGTGTGTCACCTTCTCTAAGATGTTTGAGTTCAGCAGCTATTTCTGCATCGGTCCAAGACTGAAAACATCATTCATTGAAGAATCTAATTAGGTGGAATGAAGAACAACCAAAATAACTGGAGAGCAACTCCACTGCTCAACTCAAATACATAAAATGTAATCCGCATAAATGAACCCTAAAAAGGACTAACCAAACAAATTGTGCTTGAAAACAGCAGGGAAGAACATCAAAACAAACATGATTCAGAGAAATGAGGAGCTCACTCACAAGGACTCCAAAACAGACCCATCGAAAATTCTTTTACTATTACTCAATTTATCATACAAACACTTATGCAGAACACTCTAACTCAATTTCATCAAGAATAGTTGCAAACCGAGAGACCCAACCATTATTCAATGCTCTATCCACAGACTTTTACCCAAAAAGACCCCTAAAACTTCAAGTACGTAAAGCAATCAATATGAACGTACCTTGAAACCGATTCAAATTGGAGTTGGTTGGGACCCACCCAAAGCTCCTTCTATCTAATTTGGAAGTGATGCTGGAGAGAAAAGTTTTGGTTTCTTGTGACTGAGGGGAGATGTGTAACACGTGGAGAGGAGTCGGGGTTAGGGTTTTCCCAACAGGAGAGGGTGAAGAGAGGGGAAGGGCTAAAACTGTGGAAGGTTAGAAAGGAGGATCCGATTTTGGTGGTGAGACCACTTCAACCATAGCAATTGATGAATAACGAAGGATAGGAAGGTAATTCTACAATGGACGAAAATCTGAACAGTAACCTGGACGAAAGTTGCGAACAGTTAACCTCACAACTGCCTCTTTATGTTTAGTCTTACCTGTCCATATCTAGCAAACACCCAAGTTTTCTGCATTGCCAGGGATGAAAAGATTCTGGTATGTGAAAATGTGCACTACAGAACAAGGAACTATTTTTAAATTCTAACTACCTAAGTCGAGAATGATTGCAGTTCAGAGGCGTAATGCCCTATATAGACCACTGGCCAGTAACCTGTTGGAGCCTAACTTTACAGTAAAAAATACTTAAGCCTAAGTTAATAGAAGTAACTTAAGTGATATCTCATATACCCAAGTTCACCCATGTAGACTTCTGATAAGGGACAGGTGCTACAAGCTCCCCACCACAACTTTATTTCAGTCTTTTCCCGAGTGGCCAGAGTCACTACAGCTTAACCTGGTCTTTTCCCTTGTCTTTACATCAGACTTGCAGTCGCGGCAAGGCTACTTTCTCAAGCCCACACAGTCGTCTACACAGATTGATCTGATACTACCTATGGTAGTCCAATCCCCGAAGGTTCTGCTCAAATGAGCATAGGCCCAATCCATTGGGGAGCCTCCACCGGGTCCATACCACATCACTCGCATAAAGGCGGGGAGATTGTGACACTCGTTCCAGGTTGAAAGTCTACATAGGGCGTTACATGTTGCAAAAGTGGTGTTTTTCAAGTTACACAAATAACATGACACAAAGCCAGTTTACTTTACAAAGGCATAAAACACATTAAATTTGCCAAGTTCGATCAACTCACAGGTTCGAGTTTGCGAAGAATCATCTCTTCTGTCGAGTCTAACCAATTTGGATCAGGCACGAGTGTGCGGTATTCCTCCTCAGTAATCGACCGTATACCATAAGCATCAGGCTTGACTTCCATACCTTCTTTGGGAGGGTATCCAACATTCCGAGTCAGCAGCCATTGTTCCACCACTCCACAGTTAACAGCATACTTGATAGTCTCTCCCAAGTATCCTTTGTCAGTGATGAGATGTGGCTGATTGGTCAACATTCTCATTAGACCTGCACAGATGCGGCAATGCAAAATTAGCACACGGAATCAAATTCCAGAGTTGAGAGAAAATATTTGGGCAAACTGGAATATTAATAAGAAGGACGAGTTCATATGAACATATCTAAGTCCATGAATGTATGTAACGATCAAAAAAGTCCATGAATGTACACATTTTCCTTAGTCGAGTGAATGCTGCTAGAGTAATTACGATAACAACCAAAATTTCATTAGCTTAGACATGTATCTTTGACTGTACTCTTCATAACACTGATACGTTGTCACCGATCAAAATTCAATGCACAAGGTAAAAGGATTCACTATATTACTCGCAAACTTCTAAAATACAAAAACCATTTCTAAATACTTGAACAAACATCCTCCACAATGATAAACTTTGCTCATAGTGGAGTATCAAATGTTTCACTCTCCAAGACTATAATGAAAGCTTGAATCAGAAAAGATTTCATGGAAGTAGGGTCAGGTGGAAATGTATTCATCCAGCAGGGAAGAATCTTGTTCAACCAACCTATTTTTTTGCCCAGTGAGAAAATCCAATACAAGGGGCAACCATTAACAGCAAAATAAAATCACTCAAATCACTACAGGGTGGCAATCTCGATTAATTGGGCATTAACACATTTTGGATTGAATTCGAAGTATTAGATAAACTCCCATGAATAAGTTCTTTTTCAAGTGTATCTTTCTGCGTGTCTGTTGTTGCATCCTTTCGAGCGTAACCCTTACTGTTTTTCTTCGGTGCTAGTAAATACTATTGCTAGGAAGCACTTTTTTCCACAAGCAGGCCTGATTTTTCCTCATATCTTCCTTGGAAACCCACAAAACAATGTGAGTAGCATATCACTTTTATTAGGCACCTCTCTTATTAATAAAGTTTTAATGAGGCTTGAGAAGTAGTTTATTCATTGATAAGTAGGTAATAGGATATTCTACTACTGCACATAATTTTTTGAACTGCCACTACTGCACTGCACATATTCCGTCAACCAGAAGTGAGAAAAGGTAGAAAAGAACATCTGGTCTTTCCGGAAGTCGAAATACATGAATGGACATGCAGGTAAACAGATCATTCAGAACTTAAACGTAAAAGTATTAAATTGACTCAAACTCTACAGCCATTGGTTGCACCGATTAAGACAGTATGCTAATGGAAATCCTCTTGATGACCGACTGTGTAACTTGGAAAAGCTGCATAAAGGCAAATCACCTGTGCCAAATTAGGTGAAATCAATGATGAGCTGCGAATAGAACGATATAAACCATTTGGCGCTGTTGATTCCAAATAAGTTTTTACCCCCGACGCAAACGAATAGGTGTATATGCATTGGCTTCCCAGCAGTTTTAGAGCTTAAGGGACTCCGTAATATGGGTGATCAATGACCTCACAAGAAGCCGGCTCTCCAGTGATTAAAGGAACAAAGCAAACATAAATAAGATTCTAAAAACTTACCTGCAACAATGCCATCTCCAGCAGCCGCCATATTGTGAGTGAAAGGGGAAATAGGTGGTTCCTCCCATCCGACAATTGCTCCGTTGTGCTCCTTGGTGTAGTAGTGTATCTTAGAAGTCCCATTTGTCACAAACAAAACCTTCAGATTTTCATGCCAAAGTTGATCAAATACTTCTGGGCTATAATGCACAAACTTAGACTTGTCATTATTTCTAGTGTCAAAATCCTCAGAGGGCTTGATTCCACATAGAAACTCTAGTTCTTGCTTCGTAACCTCGATGACATCTGCAAGATTCCATGCTTGCTGTATGAACATTTTGGTTTCTTCACAAGACCGCCACAAGGGCAATGGAAGGTTAAGATCGTAAAATATGACCCCTCCTAATTTCTTTGCAATACTGATGGCTTGCACCGTGGTTGATCTCATGTTCCGGTCAAGCAGGGAGAATGTG